CCCCCCCCCCCCCCCCCCCCCCCCCCCCCCCCCCCCCCCCCCCCCCCCCCCCCCCCCCCCCCCCCCCCCCCCCCCCCCCCCCCCCCCCCTTAAAACAAAACTAAAGAACTATCTTGAGCTTTAATCGTTTTAAAATAAGGTGGCAAAGTTTATAGGTTCTTAGAACATTTTTGCCTTCCCAGTGGCATGCTTTTGTTTTTGTTTATGTAAAGATGTATATCTGTGTTCTTTTGTTTGTTTTCACTATCTATCATCTTCTTGTGACTACTAATATATTAATCAATCAATCAATCAATAAAGAGTCAATCTGAAGAGTCAACAACGCTTTTTTTTCGAAATTTAGTGGACAAGAGGTAATCGACTATATTGAGTCCGAATATGAGATCCGTTTGGGTACGCCTCCAGAGACCGGATTTCTACAAAACCAGTTTTTCAGAAACTCTAAAAACTAATAAAAGCCTTTCTTAATGGGGCATGATTGTAGCCCGCAAATTCTGATTAAATTGAGACATATCCCAGCTGTGCATGATCTTTCTTTGCGAAGTCATTGAATTTACAAGAAAGCCCTAAATTGTTCATTGTCAGCTCAAAGCAACAGAAATAAGTTCAGATTCAATATATATTGTCCACAAAATTACCGTTCGATTGATTATCGTTACGCACGGTTACGCTTTTGATATTGGAAGCGATGGCTAATCAGAAAGATTTAGTAAGTTTAGAAGTAATGGATGTATGTTTCTCACACTAATAGTGTGGATTGATTGTAGCTTGATAAGATATCGGAAGACATTTGTAGAATGGAAGAGGGTATGGAAGTTGCCAAAGGTGGTTTATCCGACTGGGATGCAAATGACAAAGTCGACAAGAAAAGAGGAATGGATAGACATGTCGATGAAGTAATTAATAATACAGCACATGGGCAAACATCAATTCGGGCTTGACCTGACCAACAGCCGAGTCTGCTGAAATTGTAAGTTAAAATTCCACTGAAATTGATTAGGTAGCAGAACTATTTGCATAGCTTCTCTATCTGAATTAATCGAGATAATTATACTGGCGGTCAACCAATCCGCTCTTATAGAGCTCTTATAGCAGATAATAACTAAAAACAAAGTCCAAATAATTAATAATGAAGGAGTAGCCCGCGTAAAGCTTGATTTAACTGTATACAGTTTATTGCTTCACTGTATACAGAACTCATTAAAGTCATCTTATTCGACGATTTCTTACCCTTTGTATCCTTTCGAAGATGATTATCATGATTCTGAAATTTTTTTTTTTTTGATGCAGTAGTTCGGGGGACAAATGTAAAAAAGAAATCTTTTTAACACACCGAGGTTGACGATCTAGAGAAGGTACACACTTTTCTATGTCGAGTGAACGTTTAGGAGATTTACACACCTAGTAACATACTTTATTTTTTACAGTGTGTTTTCGAAGAAAAGTTCGAGTAAAACATAGTGGAATACCCATGCGTCAAAAAAATATCTGGTTTCGTCCG